TCACCTCCAGTGGGAGAATATTCCAAAGAGTGAGGGGCCACAGCAGAAAAGACTCTTCTAAAAAGCAACCTAATAAAGATCTCAACATTTTCACCATCTCTGGAATGTTGGCTAACAACTAGAGAAAGAATCTAAAGCCAAAATGGAAGAGAACTTTCTTAAGAGAAGTTACCTTCATATATACTAAAAGCTCAGTTCTTCAGGCACCCGGCCTCTATACCTAAACCAGTACAATCCATACTCAAAAGGCTTGGAAGAATGCTGAACACTGTAAAACTCTGAAAACTGAAAAGTGCATAAACTCTTCAGAAAAAATAAAATCTAATCAGGCTAAGGTGGGAAGGAGGAAGCAAGAAGCCCAAGTGAATAGAATAGACCAAATACGGGGAAAACAGTACAGCATTTTCTTGAAGTTACTCCTTGTTTAATATCTGTAGGTGTTTTACAAACAAACGTTATGGATTATATTCTAAAAGGCGTAACTCAAAACAAAAATCAAATAAAACCAAAATATACTGAGAAAAATCACCAGAACAATAGCTAGAATACCTAAGAGTAAGAAACAAAGTTTTAAATTAACCCAGTGAAACACATTTTGCGTCCCTTGTGAAAAGAAAACCTAGGGAAATGTAAACCCTGATTCAAAGTGACAAGCATTCCAAATATTGTTCCAAACCATCAGTCTTTCAAGCTGATGCCAAGAAAAAAAAAAGAACCTGCACCAAAACCAGTATGAATCTCTTCTTATATCCGGTAGGGTAGGGACTGAAGTAATTACAAATGAAGGCAAAATACATGTGTCCCGGGATAATGTTGCAGGATCCAATCTGGGTCCTTCACTGGGACCAGAGGTTTAGTCTTCTGAATTTTTGGAGTCATGCTGGAGCCCATCCTCAGGGAATTTCTCTCTCATTTGAATGTGAGGAGGGGCTCCAGCATGATTCCAAAAACTCGGAAGACTAAACCTCTGGTCCCAGTGACTGACCCAGACTGGATCCTGTAACTGAAGTAACTGATTATGAATCAGCTAATCAACATGTCTCAGACAGACACAGCACTCCGAAACAAAACATGGTCAGGCCAGGCTAGTAGGTGGGTGAGAGCTCTGCCAGAAACCTACTGTGGCCAAACTGAGAAGTCAAAAAGAACAATGGGAGAAGATAATGGCAACCCATCTTGTAGGGGAGTTGGGTGGCATTAAAAATTTAATAAATAAATAAAATGGCAATCAGCATGAAGTCACCAGACGGAGCTCAACTCACAGGTGATTTTACCTTTTTCATAAAATTGCAGCTTTCCCAATCTCCAGATGTATTGGACTACAATTCCCATCCCTTCCAACTACTCTGGCTACTGCAGTTTGCCTTGGACATGGCAGTACACATTCTTTAGCATCAAGATAGCCAGCTCCTCTGAACATGGAATATCAGAAACGTGAAATTCATAACCGTGTTCATCCATAATTATAAAAAAAATCCAGTGAATATAGTTATTTATATTTCCTGAAAGGTAGCTGCTGCATTTGTTATTTAAATTTACAGCCTGAGCTCTATTCAGTTACATCAACTGAAATATTTTCAAACAAACAACAAGTTTCCAGATTTTTCAGAACACGTCGTTAGGTAGGAGGTTAACTCAAAATAGGGAAATAAAGAAAGTTAAGGCTAGTGTGGTTCTGGGGTCCGATGTCCATGTGCCACAAACAGTTTTGTCATCACTCCAAAAAGATTCTTCTCCTTCTTGGTCTTCATTTCAAAGAGAGAGAAGGGGAATGTGTTAGTCTTGGGTGGTGACTAAACAGACTAGCAAAGGAAGCACAGGTGACCCTTATCTTCTTCTCTTTTTCCATAATGCAACTACACATTATCAGGGTCATTCATATTGTAGAAAAAAAAGGGATGGTCAGACTGAAGCCAGTGATTTCCTTTTCAATCACCCACTCATGCTGACTGTATTTCTGTTTGGAGTTTTTACGTTCTTACTGCTTAGTATAACTATATCGCTACTCTTACAGGACTAGAGAGCCATAGGTTTACTTAAACAAAAAAACATGCTATTTCTCTATATTTGGGGTGGTAAATGTGAGACAAGGAGCTATATTTCAAGACAGATCAGCTATTACTTAGACTCATATTCTCATGCCACGGCTAAACAGTTTAAAAATTAAGGTTTCCTAACCTGAAAAGGTGGGGGGAAAAGAAACTGTGTTTTAGAACAAAGCTTCTATGCGTGGGAGTGCAGCTGTAAAGCAAAGCACACTGTTATTCAAGCAGATAGGAAACCATACCTAATATCAAGTCCGGTTTGAAAATTGTTTTGACAGCCACTAGCACAGATCTATTTTACAGCACAGGTCTGATTTATAGGCAAAGACAAGGGCCACAAGACAAGCCAAACTCACAGGCTAAAGTGCATTTTACCACTGTTTTAGCATATGTAATCTAAACTGTACTTGCCATTATATTATTCTGAAATAAAATTTTGTTAGAAACAATGCAAATACTACCATTTATTATATTACCTCCTTCAGTTTACCCAAAAACTATTCATTCACATGCGGACTAAATCTTATTTGCAAGATATCTGTTTTGGATCATATGCCAACCTCTCCAACATTTGCCAAGATGCAAACAAAAGAAAGGCAGTTATGTAATCAGACTATATCTGGTTCCAAGGAAACAGTCAATTGTGCAAGGTATTTCAAAGTGGTCCACTGAAATGTGATGCCACATAATAACTTCTATTCAATCTTTGCTTATGTAACATTTATGACAAGGCTATGTTTTGCTCTTTACAGACCTTCATTTATTTGGCATACATCAACAAATGGCAAAGCTACAATGTACTGTTAAAAAGTAAAGGCTTTTAAAATTCATGCTAGATTTCTGATGCCATCAGGGACTCGTCCAGATAGCTTTCTTGGCAGCAGTGCAAAAAGTGCAATAGTTTGTTATTCAATTAGAAATCTTTGGAAATGGACCATAGGTCTATACTAATTATAAGAAGATAGCCATGGTGATCCATGGTGGCAAAAAAAAAAAAAAAAATCAGGATTCCAAAATAAAACTAATTTTATTAAAAGGCATATGCTTTCATGAAGCATTCTTTGCATCGGATTCTGCAGCTCATAAAAGTGTATACCTTTTAATAAAATTTCTTAGTCAGAAAAGTTGCTACCAGATTCCTGACAGCTTAAACCAAAGCATCCTATCACAGAATCCCATATTCTTTATAGGGAACATGGTATTTGTTTCCCAAGTTGAACCACTGTTTTTCCTACACAGATACTCTCTTCAAGTATCATCATTCATGCATCCAATTCCTAATTCGTAAGTGACAAATCTGAGCTTTTGTGGCACACCCCACTTGTGACATGTTTCTCCTATAAGGACTCACTCTTTTATTCCTATACAATTTAACTCAGTCACAAACTCACTTATAATACTAAGGAATGCATGAGAGAGAATGTCATTGTGACAAGTGTCCTACTGCTAGGGTGATTAAATGCATGTTTGCATTTAAATATATGGACACACTTTTCCAGAATTACTTGAGGACACCACCCCAATGGTGACTCTGGCCCAATCTCTCTCAGAGGGCCTGCCTACCTCACAAGGTTGCTGTGGGAACCAAATAAATACATCACTTTAATCTCCCAGAGAAAAAAAGTGGGATAAAAATGTGATAAATTATATACACAATGTCATTTTTTCTGCTGTATGCTCTCTCCTCCTGCAAGTTATATTACTAATTGATCGCAATGGTTCGAATGATAGCCCCATACATCAGTACACACACTTTTCTTAGTAGCTCCGAAAGATTGCTATCTTGGCCAAAAGTACTACTTCATCCATGAAGAACAATAACAATGCAGGAAAGCAACCAAGAAGATAAACAACAGCACAAAAGGAGGCAGTGCCCAGCATTTCACTTTTGAAGAAAATCAACAGTGCATTCAAGAGCACCTGGCAAGAGTCACCAAATGCCAATCCGGATTAAGAATCCGGCTTCTTTCTGCACGCAAAGGCTTCACGAATCATTTCGTTTACCAAACACATCGTCCCAGATCAATACGCTCGATGCCATCTCTGGGGGAAAAAAAAAACCTTCACCGGGAAAGTTTAATGGGCAATTCTCGGAAGATCCCGAATCCCTGGGAGACGGGGGGGGGGAGGAGAAGAGAGGGGCTGGGAAGGAGGCTGCAGGTCACCCACCTTTTTTTATAACACACACACCCCAAGCTTCTAAAACTAAAGTAAGACTTGAGCCACAAGAACCGCGTTTCTTAGCTCAGCTCCCGGCGCTGACATTTCATCCCGGATACACAATGCAAAGAAAAAGGTGACTTGCTCGGCGAGCAATCAACAATAAAAAGGAGAGAGGAGGAGAAAGGCTTGGCGCTTCGCTTCTGGAGAGACCTGCCACGACGCCACTTTATAAAGCAGGAGCAAACAAATCCAAAAAGTGCACAAAGCTAAGGCCGGGGGGGGGGGGAAGGGCCACCGAAGCCAAGCCACCGAAGGGCTTTCAGCTAACAAGGTCTCGGTCAGTAGCAGCAGCAGCAGCGCCTTTTCGGAAGGGCGGCCAGGAATAAATAAACCGTTCGCTCCTTTTGCTTTCTTCCAAACCGGCGCTTCGGACGCGCTTCCCAGGCGGGCTTACCAGGCAGCAAGTGCTTCGGTCCCCGCGGGATTTCCCTCTTAGGAGAGGGGCGCTGAGAAGGGGCTGCTCGGGGAGGACAGGAGAGGCGGACGCGGCCCTGTGGACTCTCCCGCCCCCCCCCTCCGGCGCCCGGGAATCGCCGCTCCTGTCCAAGCAAGACACCGCGTCGCCTCGCCGGGAGCCCAGGGCCACTCGGTCGCCCTGCCCGCCTACCCGCCCGAGCTCGGGAAAGGCAGCCCTCAGCTCGCAGCAGCGTCCCCAGCACCGCATTCCCCCCCCCTCCTCCTTCCACCTCTTCCCCGCCTCCTTTTGTCAGCGCTCCCACCACAGGGTCTTACATCAGCTGTCGCCGGACGGTGCCGGGAAGGAGGGGAGAGAGCGAGAGGAGAAAGCCCCGCCGCCGTTGCCGTTAAGCGCTCCTGGGCACCAGATGATTTGGGAAGGCGCCAAGTCGGGGGGGGGGGAAAGGGGACGCCTCCCCCGTCCTCCCCCACCTCCTCGCCCAGTTCCAGACCAGCCTTCAGCTGCCGGCGAGCGTCTTTTCTATTGGCAGCCGCCGCGTGAGTTGCTACTCCTGGTTCGCGGGCTAAGGCAGCTCCAAAAGGCGGCGCGTTTCTCGGCGGCGCGCGCGGGCGCGGCCCCGTGTCCGTGGGGGAGCGCGCTCGCCGCCAGCCGCGAGGCTCGGCGGAGCTGTCCGCGGGTTCGCGCGCACCATCCGGGAAGACAGCGGCGGTAGCGGCAACGGCGGCGGCAGCAGGCAGAGCAAAAAGGGAGCGTTAGCCAGCGCCGCATATTCCGCACGGCCACTACAAGACGGTGGCGGAGGTCAAGCGGCTGACGATGGGGACGATGGGAACCATATCGTAGTTCTCTGAACAATGCATCGGGAGGATGGCAGTGCGAAGGGGGGGGGGTACATGGAGGTATTGTCTTCTAGGCCAAGCAGTCATTGAAGCTGGCCAGCAGGTGCCTCGTTCTTGAGGGCGCACAAATGGTGCCGGAGCAGGTGCAGGCCGGCGGAAAGCCACAGACTTCCGAAATCAGAGCCGGGAAAGCGATGGAAAAGAGGACCTGAACTCAATGGGAATTGCCCCAAGGAAAGTGTAGACCAAATCACTGACATTATAGCAAGACTAGGCCAAATTCTGCACCATACAGAAACACCCAAGAGGAATGAAAGCAGCCAACGTCTATCTTAAGCTCCTGCTGTTTCTCTATTTGGTCTCATAACTTGAAACCCTGACATGGGCTAAAGCAGCGTGCAGAGAGAGCAAAGCTTCAATTACATGGGCTTTTAAGAATTAGAATGCAAATGATCTTGAAAACTGGAGGACAAATGGTGACCGAAAAAGAAAACATTTGCCCAAAAGCAAAGGGATATCAAAGGGGTTTGCCTGCTTATTATGGAGATTGATTGCCTCTTCTAATCATGTTCTCATAACAACTTGCGTGGTTTCCAAACATAATGTGAAATCAATTATACCAAATTTATAAAAGCAGTTCAAAATAGTCAAATGAAAATGAAAAATGTACTAGCCTTTGAATAAGCTAGAAATCAAAGGTGAGACAAGACTGAACAATAGTATTCTATATGCTCTGGGTTTAATTCATTAATTAAAAATTGAATAAATATAAATGCAATGAATTGTAATATTAGTACTAGTAATAATAGGCATTTTGAGTCCAAAGCAACTGGAGTACCAGTTGAACACATCACTGTCCATCAACTGCAAAAAACAGCTTTACTCGGAACACCTAACATCCTGTGAGGATACCTTTAACACCTTCAAACAACATGTGTCTATCCCAGATCCTTTGAAAAAACTCGATAGGTAGATAAAAGTGTCAAATGCAGCCTAAACTGCCTGCTATGGACCATACTAATGAAGTAGAAAAGTTTAACACAATTTCAGTTGGTGAATATTCTGACATTTTAGTAATAACTTTTACATATCTATTATAATACTTCTGTTTAGTTGGTTTTTTTCAATGTTTTCTGTTTGCATTTCTCTTCTTTCTGTTCTTCTTTCCCCCTTTTAATTTACATTGTAGGTATATCCATCTATATCGTATAGAACAGTGGTGGGCACGCGTACCATTGCCCCAGTCCTAGGTCTTCAGCTGGGTTTGATAAAACCTTTTCGCTTTAGGCCTCTGCCGCCGGTAATATAAAGCCTCTTAAAATACAATGCCAAAAATAAATTTTAATTATTAACATTTTTAAAGGTCAGTTAAAATAACTCAATAATTGAGTTAAAGAAAGTAACGGGTGAATAAATGCCATTCTCCCCACCAGATCAAGTGATATCAAAGGAAGTAATTTCACTATCAGGACATGTGCTTTTCCTTAGTACCACCTCTTTCCCATGCGTATCCAAACGAACTAGGAAAAAAACTCTATTAAATATTTTAGTTTACTGAGGAGTTCATGACATATGGAGATAGAGGACTTCAGATGAGCAGAAGGTATAATAGCATGTGGAAAAGACCTTGGGAGACTGAGCCAACAGACACTGCCAAGGGAATGGTCAGCTAGAGACAGCTGGATAGTGTTGTGATTCCTCGCCAGCCAGTGGATCCGGCAGCTGAGTCTGAGGAATCAGATGAGGAGGAGGGGGCCTGGAATGACATCAGAGTCAGGAAGGCTCTGAGGAGCTCCAAGACTTACAGTCGGACAAGGAGCCTGGCCCCTCAACTCGCACTCAGGCTGAGACACAGCTGTGCTGGGAGCCTGAGTTGAACAGTGATGAAGAATAGTTGGGAAAAATCCAGGATGCATGAAAGTGCAGGCAAGAGAAGCGAGTAGGACAGAGGAATGCAATGGGGCGGCTCCAAAGGCCAAGAAGAAGGCATTAGGAAGCCACCGCTTGGCTGAATTATAAAAGGGAAGGTATGGGAGGTGCTGGTTGCCAAAGGCAACTGTTCGTGTTGAGGATTGAGTTTCTGTGGACTGTGTTTGTTTGCCTTGGACATTGACTCAGGTCTGTAAGAATAAAAGGGGTTGGTTTTTTCTTGCAGTTCCTGCCTGTTTCTAGGAAGAGGGCTTTCTCATTGTGAGCATAACAAGGACTCACGTAGGCTGGGACAGAACAGATAGTGGGTGGGGCAAGAGGTTCAGAAGAGATCCTCTCTAGATTTTCACGATATAAAGAGAAATGGGAGGAGGGGTGGATTATACTTTCAGACCCGCAAGATTGATAGCAATAGTACTTAAGACTTATATACCACTTCCCAGTGCTTTACAGCTCACTGTAAGCAATTTACAGAGTCAGCCTATTGCCCCCAACAGTCAACTTTCAGTCAGTGAGAATCAAACTCCTGGCAGTCGGCAGAATTCACCTGCAATACTGCCTTCTAACCAGTGCACCACCATGGTTCTTGATGTCAGCCTTGCCAGATAAACCAGATAGGAATCAGAATCAGATGAGCTAATTTATTGTAAAGCTACATAAATAGAATTTTGCAAGATTAGCCCGAACACCCGGGGGCTTTGTTGCCCAGAATGCCATTCCTGGCATTATTCATTAGTCTTGATTAAGATGCAAACAGGTAGCATTCCTTCATTGGAGATACTTGCCCCATTGTGGAAACACCAAGGTCACTTAGACCAGGGGTCCCCAACCTCCGGTCCGTGGACCAGTACCAGTCCGTGGCAAGCCAGCAACCAGTCCACACAAATAAGCAAAGCCCGATCGGCCAAATGTAGACAGCACACAAAAACCACACACCCTCTGGTCCGCAGAAAAAGTTCTCTCCACAGAACCGGTCTCTGGTGCCCAAAAGGTTGGGGACCTCTGACTTATCAAGATAGCTCAAAATAAAGTAAACTGATTTTCTATCTGAAATACCTTGGCCCAAATTCCTTTTCTTTTGCTTTAGGGAGAAATATAGCAGGAACTATAGGTAGTCCTCGACCCACATCAGTTTATTTAGTGACTGGTCAAAGTTACATGGCACTGAAAAAAGTGACTATGGCCATTTTTCACACAACCTTTCCAGCATTCCCATGCTCATGTGATCAAAATTCGATGCTTGGCGGCTGGCTCATACTTAACGACTGTTGCTGCATCCCAAGGTCATGTGATCTTTTGTGATATTCTAGCAGGGAAAGTCAATGGGGGAAGCCAGATTCACTTAATAACCAGGTTACCAACTTATCAACTACATTGATTAACTTAACTGTGGCAAGAAAGGTCAAAAAATGGGGCAAAACTCACTTAAGAAATGTCTCACTTAAGAACAGAAATTTTGGGCTCAATTGTGGTCATAAATTGAGGACTACCTGAGTCAAAAGTTATTTATCCTACCTTAGACAGTGCTGATGAAATCAGAAGCCTAATTTTTCATTATTTCAAAAAACCCAATACCTGACATTTGCCAGACTCCAATCTTCATCCAAATGTACTGCAATCTCTTTTTGAGTCTCATGGAGTTTGGGAAGCCATAGAACATTCTAGAAAATGAGGCCCAAAGATCCTCCAAGGCAGCTGAGTTTTTCAGTTAATTAAAATTAATCAATTAAGCATAATAATACAACACTAACTGGAGATTGGACTATTTGAAAAAATACCAGCCTTAGTGTCATTCTGCCTAAATCTTTGACTGAACTCAGATGTCCCACTTTTCAAGACTCTGCAGACAACCTCTCAAAAGATCAGAATGAGCCATGAAGCTGAGGCAACTTCTTGAATGAATGCCTAGCATCTCATTCAAAGATAAAGCTCTTAAATGCTTAATTTTCCCAGTCCTGTGGGTTGATGTCTACACATCCATCTTTTCAAACATGATGCATAGATGGTTCTGTTCCAGTGCTTTTGGCAACACTTTATTAAAATTCTTCCTATGTACCATTTTGATAGTTACACTTTCCTACACGCTTGCATTACTTGAGTTGTTACGATCATCACTCACTAGTGTTGTAATTTATCACCTGATCCTATGTTTATATGGACATAAGCATGAATAGGATGTACTATTGAAATCAGTGTACTTGAGATGTAATTAGATAAATTTGTTTGAATGCAGACCAAAGTATATAGAGTTCATGCCTGTCTCCTTGTCAGAGTAACCAAAGCTATGCCAAATGAATGGTCTTCCACTGAACATATACACTCCTAGCATAGGCTGAAGGCTGCACTGTACTGTATATTGGGACACCAGATGTGTGAAAGAAACATGCCGGTTCCTAAGTAAGTGCTATGGCAGCATATCATAAAGTCTGCCACTTAATTGGGAAGCTGGAATAAATTCTTTAAATTGCTTTCCATCACTTTGGTTTCAAAGTAATCTTATGTCAGTGGAAACACCCTGGGGCTGAAGGTTTAGAGATTGTATTTATACCTCTAACCTACTTTTTCATTCCGGGTATATTCAATTGTTTGTTTTACAGGGCTTATAGTTTGCTCCAACGTGATCAGACTCAGCAGCTTACAATTTTTACTTCTGTAACTCAGATTGAAACAGAAGATTAAATACAATATCTCTATAATTCTGAAGAATCACATTGTTACCATAAGAAGTACACCACAACCAACCTACTAACCAGGTGGTATGTATTCCAGAGTTCTGAAGAAGCTGGCAGATGTGATCTCGTAACCACCAATCTATATCTT